TCGGCATTAATTTTATATGAACACGCTCTTTGAGGCTGATGCAAATCTAACTAGTTTTCAAAGTGAAAATATAAAAAATGTTCTTGGAGTTATTTCTAAAACAGAATACTTGTTTCTAATCCTAATGTAACAGAAATGTATACATAAATCAGATTCATCATGAATCTTCAGCTAACAACTGTTTCAGAACCATGTTAACGCCATGCATAAGAATGCCACGTTTTCCAGGATTTGACATTAGTGATCGAGATTTACTATATTTTGTAAATGGAAATACTACTAAAAACAATGCTATAAATAGAATAACGTCATTTGTTTCCAAAGACTATTGATGTAGAGTGGTGCGAAAATGATAAAAGTGAGATATTTTGTGGCAAACTTGGGTTTGGGCTGTAATCCATGAGTTATCTCAGGGTAAACGCTGCAGCCACAAGCGCCTCCAGTGTGTATTCTCGGGCCAAATGTGAAACAGGTTAATGTGATTCTGATGCAGTGAACTTGGATCTCACTATTCCTGTCTGAGGCTTAGTTTTGATCACCACTTGAGATGTAGGCAGACTGCAAGCACTGCCACCTGCAGAACCCTTACATACACTCATGGTGAAGATCAAAAATGGCAGCGTGGCTTGCCTCGAAAGAAGGCACCAGAGCACTTTAATACTCCATTTTGCAAGAGATGAGCTGAAGTCTATGGAAACATAAAAAAAGAAAAAAAGAAATGATATGATGTCTGGGACACGCCTCAAGCTAATTCAGTGTGGAGAGTGGGGCAGAGATGATACAATTGTGCCATGACCCAGCTGTTTAAACTGTATGATGAATACAAGGGGGCTGGCTCATTAAAATATTTTCTCTACTTTTGTGTATTTCAAACTGGCCATAAGAAAAGCTAGGGCGCGGTGGGGAACACAAGAGAAACCCTAGAGAAAAATAAAAATGCTCTTTACTTCAGGGAGAGGGTTTTATGCCTATAATGTAGCTAACTTTTAACAGCACTTAACACAAACATCTACTTAATAGTTTTCAGTTAACTATAAACTACTTTCTTCCTTAGGAAAGAAAAAGGTGGTATTGTTATGTTGACTCTGTCTTGAATGAGGCTACCCACTACCCTAGTCTGTCTTTTTTTTTTTTTTTTTAAATCTAGCTGCTGGTAGGTGTCAACTAGCCTCTTTTTCATCTTGCCCTAGGCTCGATTATGTCCCTGCTATGACAGAAAAATCACTTGTCATCGAGTGTGGATATCTTATTGGGTTGCCATCCTACTCCCTTGCCTAAATATCAGAGATAAGAGAGGTGTTGTCCTGTCTGCACTCTTTCTGGAAGGTGTAAATGGAGTGCTAAACTCTGGACAGCGCAATAGGTAGTGCTGAAAGACAGCTGCTGGACTCCCCTGGGGCCATAAAGCTCACCTCCCTACGAATACACAAAATAGGTGTTTTGTTTTTTGGTTTTTTTTAAGAGTCACAACACAGTGGAAAATTGGTCACTTGACACCCTCATCTTTGAGTGACTCAGTTCAATTTCACTGAGAGCCCAATTAATTCATTTTTTTGGCAAATATTTACTGAGCACAAACTGTGAACGAACTAAATATCTCTCAATCAGCCATGCCCCTGTCCTCTGGGAGTTTACACTCTAATGAAAGGCCATCACATAATACATGCTTTCACATGGTAATACAGTGTTTAGAGAAAGGAAAAGGACAGGGTACTTTGATATTGTACAACAGGCTTAAGAGAAGGTAGGGATGGCATCCCAAAGAAAATGTCATTTTCCAATTATACTTTTAACTCCCACAGGAACACCATATATTTTTTAAAATTTGCTATGAAATTAAAGTATTTAATGTTTTCCTTTGTAAAGCCTCTTAATATGTTCAGGTACTAATACAGAAATCTTAATCAGTTATTCATATTAATTTCATCTAAACATAATTTTGTGAACTCTAAAATTTCACAAATCACCTGGAAAAAGAGTAATTTGTCTTCTGAGGTTAATCATTTGAAAGAAGTCAAACTATATTGTCAATGTTTTTCTACTAAAATCAACTGTGCAATCAATATTACAAATTATAGAACAAAGCAAACAAGGCAATAAAAGCAGATGAAAAATAGACTGACCTCTGAAAAACACCTGAAATTTTAACCTTAACATCTGCCTATCTATGCTAATAGGAAGAAGGAATGATATATCAGCTAAACCACAAATAATCTCACTTCCATATAAATTAGGAAGTCCAACCATTCCCATAGCATTAACCCTTGGGCAGTCTTGCCATGAGGAAATTAGACAAATAAGCTACAAGAGGAAAAAGAGAGAAAAGACGACAGAGATTTTAGCAGTTTTGAATTTGGGGAGTAGAGATATGTGAAGCATCCTTGAGAATCCAAAAGTAGCTATGGACACCTGCTCTGCACATACATACCATTTTGCATACAATTTCAGGGGACACACATATCAATTTGCATATAATTTTAAGGGAATTATGACCCCCCTGAAGCCCATTCAAGTCCCAGGTTATAAACTCTTGACCTAGATAAATATCAAATTAGGAGATCAGGTCTCAGATTATCAGTTGAAAGGGCTGAAAGATATTAATACATAGAGTCATTTTCAATATGTTATCTAATTTAATTTCAACCCCTACAACCACCTTGGGAAATAGGTATTATCATTTCCTTTACAAAGAGATTCTGATAGGTGAATTAATTCAAGGTCAAGCAACCTTCTCTCACACCCAGGTTTCTAACCCCTAGGTCCTCAATCATGAGCTAGAAGAGTATTCAAGAAGTCTAGTCCATATTCCTAGATATATTCCAAGATGGAGAATTTTTGACTTGTAGTACTTTACTCATATGATCAACTTATCTACTTATCTTGTCAATTTAATCTCATTGACAAGAAAAATTTAGAAATTTCAAAACATCTTTTCTTAGTAAGAGATAATTGTAACCAAAGACGAAGAATAATTGTCTAACAATTTTTGATAATTTTAAAAAGTATTTTCATTTTTTAAGCAGCCTGATATAAGCTGTTTGTTACAAAAATAAAGGCCCACTGCTTGAGTGAATATTCTCAAGACTGGATTTTTAAACTGTCCCAGAAAATCCACAAAGTCACACATGAACCAAGAACCGAATTAAAAACTTCAGTCTATACTTGAAACAGGCAGGCAGACTTTCAGATGACTGGGACACACTTCAGCATCCTCTGAATAGTTAGAGCAGCTTAAAAAAATGGTACCCCTAACAATCACTAATTATTTGATAACTCTGAAGCACACAACCAAATCCATGACCCCTTTGTGCATCAAGAAGGTAGTTAGGAGGTCTTAGAGCTTCATGGTAAAACCTGCTAATGGATGTGTCCCAGCAGAAAACAACAAATACAGCAAAAACGGGTCCAGGCCACTAAATTAATTGGGTCTCAGTCCAGACCAAGTTGCCCAGTGAAACACTAATATACTTACTCATCCTCTATAGGGAAATTACCAATAATTAGCACACTGTTTTCACACAGATTTAGAAACCCTTTGTGGGAAATGTATCCACACCCAGAGAATGAAAACTAAGAACAAGAGCAGGTCAGGTCCTCTAAAGCTCTACTCCAACTGCTTCCTATGAGAGTTGCCACCTAGTGATTTTAATTTTTTAAGCCCAGGCAGGCTGCCAATTCAACAATAAAACCGGACTAACAACTGACTTTTCCTATTGCAACATCGCCAGCAAGTCCTGCGTTTTCCCTCTCTTTCCTTTGCTCTCAAACAGCAATTCTCATTTTCAAAATCAACTAATTTGCTCTATAATCTGTTCCAATTGGAAGCTCTCAGAGAGCTGCCAATGGAATCACTCTTTCTCCTAGTGCCAAGAGGCCAACAAGTGGCCAATTCAAAAAAACCAAAACAGTGAATGTGAAAAGACAGGCACTAAAAACAAGAAATACATGTGAAGACAGTAACAATGAGCCAACTCTGGGTTTTAATATGTTTTACTTGCCAAAATTCTACTTATTCTTCGGCCTCGGACAATAACTGTGCCAAAATAAATGGCTACACGTGAGAAATAAAATTGCACAAGGGAATATAAACTCAATATTTTGGATTCCAAACTTTACTCAATACCTTGTCCGTAGTTCTGCTGAAAAAAATAACTTGAACTGAATCTAAAGTTGACTGGCCTCCAGAAGTCCCTTTTGACCAGTGTGTCCAAGACTGGCACAAGCATTAGATTGATGGCAAAGCTGACTAAGGAAAAAGAAAATCTCAAGGAAAAGTCTGACAGTTTCTAGGTAGCTGACCTGACTTTCGTCTGGAGCCACATCTGTAACTACAGGTATTTCCCTAAAAAAACTTCTACCAGTTTTATTAAAAACTGACTAATAATTAGACTCTGATTTCACTTTTAGGGCACTAAAGGCTTGTTTCACCATATAAAATTCTGGCCTTCCCCTTCCCCCCATCTTGGCAACTCACAAAAAAATCTGACCAACTGCTTCTCAGTTGTGATGATCCTGTTGAACTTTTGTAAGTTAAATTCCATAAAAATAAGGCTGCACAGGTAAAGTATCATCTTTAAAGTTCAAAATTAATTTTGATTGCCAGCGGAAAATTTCAGATGGCAAGGTTTCCTTTCCCAGCCCCTACAGCATTTGTGTAAACGCTTTCTGAAGTCGAGAATTCCTTCCTCCACTGGTGTTTCTCCGAAAGGGGGTCAAACCTGAACTCAGTGCAGGTGCCCAGTGCTTATCACTGAGCCATGCTGCTCATGCTGCACCAGGCCAGGCCTCCACTGAATGATTCCAGGACGCTCCCCATCACAGGAAGTCCCCGGAAACCAGATTTGCCAAAAACTCTCCCTGTCCTCCTGTTTCTTTCTCCTCAGGCAGCATCCTCTCACGGAGAGGAGTGGGTAGAGTGGGCAAAAGTACCCCGCCCTGGTGAAGCCGGCAAGGAAACTTTCCCGGAGCTTGCACAAACTCCTTCAGGGAGCTAGACTCACCTTCACGACAGAGCCCCATGACTTCATGGTTTTTCCCAAACTCCTTGAAACTTTCGTCCAACTCCGTCCCTAGGAGATACACACACACAGGAGGAGGGGAGAGGCAGGTCAGTGGCCGGGAGTGTGACGCACGCTCACGCACGCATGGAGTAGGTGCGGGCACCTCTGCGTTCCCCAACCGAGCGATAGCATCTCTGACCCCCGAGGGGGCTGGTCACAGGACAGGGCAGGTGGGGGGAGGGAGGAGATGGGTGGGAGGATTGGGAAGCCGGGGGCGTCGGGGAGAGAAAGGCGTGGACACTCACCGTCCTTCCCAGGAAGTTTGGAAGCCTCGACCCACAGATTCCACGACTGTCCCAGCATCGCTTCGGGACTGGGCAGGGGCCTGCGCTCCCCGACGGTCGCCATTGAGGCGGCGGCCGAGGTGGGGGGGGCGCCGGGGC